CACTTAGTGCAGAGCAGGATTATGCAAGGAGGAGGGGTTAAAGCAACTTATTTCACCAGCTTCTCGGGATACTTTGTGACACCTGTTAAAATAGAAACCAAGTCTCCATCTGTGTGTCAGCTGGGTGCAGCCGTTGAGTACCTACTGTCTGCCAGCTACAAACAGAATTCATAGTTTCCCGTGCCCCTCACATAACCACAGTCTGAAGGGGGGCTGCTTGGGAGCCCACCTTTGGCACTTGGGGATTTTGATGCCGGCTGAAGTTTGGGAACCAGTCACACGTACAACCAAGGTTGCCTCGATCCAGCCTGCTGCTTGGTTTTTTTTTTTTTCCCTCCCCCCGAGACTGAGTCTTGCTCTATTGCCCAGGCTGGAGTGCAGTGGCACAATCTTGGCTCACTGCAATCTCCACCTCCCGGGTTCAAGTGATTCTACTGCCTCAAGCCTCCCGGGTAGCTGGGATTACAGGTGCCCGCTACCATGCCTGGCTAATTTTTGTATTTTTAGTAGAGATGGGATTTCATCATGTTGCCCGGGCTAGTCTGGAACTCCTGATCTCGTGATCTCCCTGCCTTGGCCTCCCAAAGTGCTGGGATTCTAGGCGTGAGCCACCGCGCCTGGCCTGCTGCCTTGTTTTATACCGCCCATGAACTAAGAATGGTTTTATATTTTTAAATGGCTGGGGAAAAGAGGAAGGATATTTCATGGTAAATGAGAGTTATATGAAATTCAGATTTCAGCATCCATAAATAAAGTTTTATTGGAACACAGCCTCACTCATTTGTTTACATGTTGTCTGTCTGTGACTGCTTTCTGGTTATAGCAGAGCTGAGTAGTTGTGACAGACTGTGTGGCCACAAAGATTAAAATATCTACTATATGGCTCTTTACAGAAAACGTTTGCCAACCACTGACTCAGGGAAAGAGGAAATACCATAGGAAAGAAAATATCTGCGTAGAAAAATCATGTTTCAAAATTAATAGACAAAATGGGTAAACTTCATATTCAAAAAACCAGAAGGAATAGTGTTAGATTCTGGATTAAGATGAAAGCATATCGATTATATAGGCATTTAGGTAAGATTTTCACAGAGATTGTGATCCTGTGCCCTCCGTAAGTTGACTAACTCTATGCTTCTTTTCATAGGCTGGTTAAACTCATGGACCTGATACTTTTCTCTTGAGAATCAAACCAGCCCAAAAGAAAAATGGCATTTGTTGCAACACAGGGGGCCACGGTGGTTGACCAGACCACTTTGATGAAAAAGTACCTTCAGTTCGTGGCAGCTCTCACAGATGTGAATACACGTGAGTTGATCCTTTTTGTCATTAAGAAATGCATAAACAAGGCTGGACGTGGTGGCTTACGTCTGTAATCCCAACACTTTGGGAGGCCGAGGCAGGTGGATCACCTGAGGTCAGGAGTTTGAGACTAGCCTGGCCAACGTGGTGAAACCTGTCTCTACGAAAGTACAAAAATTAGCCAGGCGTGGTGGCTCACGCCTGTAGTCCCAGCTACTCGGGAGGCTGAGGCAGGAGAATCACTTGAACCCAGGAGGCAGAGGTTGCAGTGAGCCGAGATCATGCCACTGCCCTTCAGCCTGGGTGACAGAGCGAGATTCTCAAAAAGAAGGAAAGAAATGCATAAATATGACACATCCATCTCAGCTCCAATGTTGTGCACTTTAAAATTAATTGTAACATTAACTTTTATTCTCGTTTTCCTTTTCTCTGCCTTGTAGAGAAGCAAAGTGATGAGTAATACTGGCTGTAGCCCCAAAGAGGCACATGTGTGTATGTTTGTGTGTATGTATATGCTTGTCAGTGCATGCGTGTGTATGTCTGAGAGTACAAATGTGTGCAACTGGTTGTAGGGAACTAGCTATGTGCCTTCTATTAGGCCATGACAGTCAAACTGATAAGATCTGATTGCTTCTCTTAAATTACTAAATCCAAGTTTTGCATTAACATAATTTCCTTAACATAATTTCAATTACCTGATGCTTGTATTGCCATTTACAGCTGATGAAACGAAGTTGAAAATGATGCAAGAAGTTAGTGAAAATTTTGAGGTATGAGCATTATATTTTGTATTTTTCATTTTGAGGTAAATACTGTCATGCACTTTCCTGTTCCTGCTTTGTCAGTCTTTTTACTAGCAACTCAAAGATCATTGTCTTTGTTCAAGTAATTTATTATATTTCAAAACTGACATTTGAAACTTTGTACACAGTGTTTTCCATCTGCACGCTAATGATAGCCAACCCCACACCATGTTGAGGGTTGTCAGTTTTGTTTTGGTTGTTTTAACAACATTGTTTCATTTTAAAATATGATAGCTCTTATAGGCTACCATGCCTGTTGGGATGTACTCAGATTATTCTTGTGTTTAGTTTCTTTCTTTTTTGATTTTTGTTTGAGATGGAGTTTCGCTCTTGTCGCTCAGGCTGGGGTGCAGTGGCGTGATCTTGGCTCCCTGCAACCTCTGCCTTCCAGGTTCAAGCGATTCTCCTGACTCAGCCTCAAGAGTAGCTGAGATTATAGTGCCTGCCACCATGCCTGGGTAATATTTGTATTTTTAGTAGAGACAGGGTTTCGCCATGTTGGTCAGGCTGGCCTTGAACTCCTGACCACAAGTGATCTACCTGCCTCAACCTCTCAAGGTGCTGGCATTGCAGGCATCAGCCATCTCACCTAGCTTGTTTATTGTCTTCTTTGAGGCGGAGTCTGACTCTGTCATCCAGGCTGGAGTGCAGTGACGTGATCTTGGCTCACCGCAACCTCCGCCTCCCGGGTTCAAGTGATTCTCCTGCCTTAGCCTCCCAAGTAGTTGGGATTACAGGTGTGCACCACCATGCCCAGCTGATTTTTGCATTTTTAGTAGAGGCGGGGTTTCACCATGTCGGCCAGGCTGGCCTTGAGCTCCTGACCTCAGGTGATCCACCTGCCTTGGCCTCCCAAAGTGCTGGGATTACAGGCATGAGCCACTGTGCCTGGCCGAGATGCACTCAGATTTATGTTGTAAATTTGTTGTGTTCAGGTAATTTGATGGTGTATTCCTATGCAGTGAGATCTGGATGTCATTTCTGGTTCTGCTAATTAGAACATCTGTGACCTTGATCAAGAAAGAACTTTCTCTCTTGTGGACCACATATCCTACAATTTTATATGTACTGCGTGTCCCTCAGACACTTTTCATTTTTCTTCAGTCTTTTTTCTTTTTGTCCTTTACATTGGATAATTTCTGTTGATCTTCTGAGAATTTTTTTGTTATCTCCAACCTGCTGGGTTTTTCTTAGAATTTCAGTTTATGTTTTGTATTTTTAAAAATTTTACCTATTGTGCTTTCAGTTCTAGAATTTCCATTTGGTTCTTTATAGATTTCGTTTATCTGCAGATTCCCCATCTTCGTTTATTAAGACCATACTCTTTTATGTTTTGAGCATACTTACTGTATGAGGGCTGTTTTAAAGTCTTCGTGTATTAAAGCCAACATTTGGGCTATATGAAGGTCAATTTCTATTGGCTGTGGGCCTCGTTATCCTGTTTCCTTGTCTAGTAATTTATATATTTATATATTTTGAGACAAGGTCTTACCGTCACCCAGTCTGGAGTGCAGTGGTACCATTTCGGCTCAGAGCAACCTCAACCTCCTGGGCTTGGGTGAGCCTGCCACCTCAGCCTCTTGAGTAGCTGGGACTACAGGCATGCACTACCATACCTGGCTAATTTTTGTATATTTTGTAGAGACGAGGTTTCACCATGTTGCCCAGTCTGGTCTCAAACTCCTGCCTCAGCCTCCCAAAGTGCTGGAATTACAGATGTGAGCCACTGTTCCCAACCATCTAGTAATTTTTTTTACTGTACAGTGGACATTACATGTGAGACATCGTAGGGAGTCTATATCCTGTTATCTCCCTCTGAAGAATGTCAGTGTTTTGTAGGCAGTTCAGTTACCAGCTGATCCCACTGAATTTGCATAGGATTGGTTTTATGCTTTGGGGAGGATCTGTGGATGGCCCAAGGTCTTTCCCAGGTCTCTAACTTGGTGGGATTCAACCTTCAAATTCTGCCTTTGGATCTCATCAGAGGCTGATTTTAGGCTTTGTTGGGGTTGGTCTAGAATAGGCCATGTTCTAGGACATGGTCTAGCTGGATGTGTGAGGTCTGGGATGTTATTAAGATGTTAAGTAGGTCTTTGCACTCCGGCTAGGCTTGAAATCCAGCATTCTCTAGCATTACTAGATGTATGGTATCTTCATTCATCTTGCAATTTGTTTTTTTTTTTTAAGATAGGGTCTCCCTCTGTCGCCCAGGCTGGAGTAGAGTGGTGTGGTCACAGCTCACTGCAGTCACAACTTCCTGGGCCCACCTCAGCCTCTGGAGTAGCTGGGACCACAGGTGTGCACCACCACGACCCACTAATTTTTGTATTTTTAGTAGAGATGGGGTTTCGCCATGTTGCCTAGGCTGGTCACGAACTCCTGACCTCAGGCGATCCGCCCACCTCGGCCTCCCAAAGTGCTAAGATTACAAACATGAGCCACCACGCCCGGCCGCATCTCTCAGTCTTGAAGCAAGTACTCTGTGGTGAGCTTCAGGCAGTGTCACCCTATGTGTGTGCAGTCCAGCCCTCAGCTGGCTTCACTGGAGGCCTGCTCTGTGGTTTGCTTTTCTCTGGTGCTATGCCCTCCAGATTCCAGCCAGTTTAGCTCTCCTGAACACTAAGGATTTTACTCCTCAGCTCAGCAGGCCATGACCCCTGCGTGGACCCAGCTTGCTGAACCCCAGTTGGAAAATCGTACCTAGGCAGAGAACCATGGTGGTCATAGGGCTCAGCATGTGAATTTCCCTTCTCCTGGGAGTCATGCTCTGGTATTGCCCCTAATCCAACACCTGAAAAAAGTTATCTCGTATTTTGCCCAACTCTTTGGTTCACCTGGGTACCAGTTAGTCTCATAGACAGATGAGAAAGTCACTTTTGTTACTTATTTTTTTCACATCAGATGGGTAATGTGCTGACATCATAACAAGATTTAAGGGAGACACGTCTCACACATAAGCATGAAACCCCAATCATCATGCTTACAAACTACAAAAGGATCATGTTTCCGATTTTTATTGTTTATTTGATTAAAAAAATTTTTAAGAGACAGGGTCTTGCCGTACAGTGGTGCAGTCACAGCTCACTGCAGCCTTGAACTCCTGGGCTCAGGTGGTCCTCCTGAGTAGGTGGGACTACAGGTGTCAGACACTATGCTTGGCTAATTTTTCTTTCTTTCTCGCTATGTTGCCCAGTCTGGTCGAACTCGGGGCTCAAGCGAACCTCCTGCTTCGGCTTCCCAATGTGCTGGTATTATAGGTGTAACCCACTGCGCCCAGCCAACGTTTCTTTTTTAAAATGTGAGGATAATAATCTAAGAACAATAGAGAAAATGTTCCCTAGCTTCCATAAGGTTTTTTGTATTAACAAACGTTAAATACATGCTGGTGGGGTTGAATCAAATACCCTACTATCTGTACTAATGGATAGTATCTTAGCTTTTTTTTAATAGACATTTTCAAGGACTTGTTGCCTTGAGCTGAGCTAGAAAAAAACCTTGAGATATTTAGAGATCTAGCTAAAGAGCTTTCTCTTCTGCCCAAGCTGCTAAAACAAGCTGTTTAAAAAATACATATATATATAAAAAAAAAAGGTGAGAGGCAGAAGAGGATATGCCTGCATTCCGCATTTTGCTGGAAGAACTGCTCTGAGAGAACCATAGTCCTGGCAGGTTTATCGGAGAGGCTGAAATGGGCAGTCTGTGAACCCGCAGGAACAAGCCCTTGAGTCAGGGCTCCGAGCGTGGACATAGGGCTGTCTGGATTAAATATCTGTAAATATCTGACCTTCTTGAGGTTCTGAGACTTTATTCTCCTTTTTAGGATTTGCAGTTATCAGGTTACCTCCTTCCTGGCTTTTGGTCTCAGATGCATTGATTAACAACTAGAAGTTAGTGGGGCAAGTCTGGGTGTGGTGGCTGACGCCTGTAATCCCAGCACTTTGGGAGGCTGAGGCAGGTGGATCACTTGAGGCCAGGAGTTCGAGACCAACCTGGCCCACATGATGAAACCCTGTCTCTACTCCAAATACAAAAATCTAGCCGAGCATGGTGGCACATGCCTGGCCTGGAGTCCCAGCTACTCGGAAGGCTGAGGCAGAGAATCACTTGAACCTGGGAGGCAGAGGTTGCAGTGAGCGGAGATCATGCCACTGCACTTCAGCCTGGGCAACAAAGCGAGACACTGTTTCAAAATATTACATATATATAATATTATATATATAGATATATAATCTACATATATATATCTCTCTGTATCTGCGAGGCAGTACAATTAGGGCTTTTCCAAGTAATGACTTTTGCAGTCTGTGTATCAACATTTACCTTAAATGAAATTCAGATGACTGAATTCTTCAGAGAATTAAATACTAGAATGACCATCAAGAAGCAGTTCTTGGCGGGGCACAGTGGCTCACGGCTGTAATCCCAGCACTTTGGGAGGCCGAGGCGGGTGGATCACGAGGTCGGGAGATCGAGACCATCCTGGCTAATATGGTGAAACCCCATCTCTACTCAAAATACAAAAAATCAGCCAGGCGCAGTGGCAGGCGCCTGTAGTCCCAGCTTCTCGGGAGGCTGAGGCAGGAGAATGGTGTGAACCCGGGAGGCGGAGCTTACACTGAGCCGAGATGGTGCCACTGCGCTCCGGCTTGGGCGACAGAGTGAGACTCTGTCTCAAAAAAAAAAGAAGCAGTTCTCTAAATTACTACCACCCCAGAAAAATGTTTAAATGAGGTGAGTGAAATTTAAAAAACTCCCAGTGATTTCAGGAGTCTTACAGCTTCATTATTAAATGGGCCATCTTTCAAGACAAACCTTCAGGTTAGGAATCACATGAACAATTTATCTGGATCAAAAAGCTGGTGGCTGAGTTGAGATACTTGCAGAATAACCAGGTAGCTTGTTGAATAAATCTTTTTTTAATTATAAAAATGTTTTTTTAGAGACAGGGTCTTGCTATGGAGTATAGTACCTATTCACAGGTGCCATCCTAGCATACCACAACATTGAACTCCTGGGCTCAGATGATCTTCCTGCTTCAGCTCCCGAGTAGCAGGGACTACAGGCGGGCACCACCATGCCCAGCTTGAATGAATTGTTTTAACTGGAGAAATTCTTTTCTCTTTTAGACATGGTCTTGCTATATTGCCCCAGCTGGTCTTGAACTCCTGGGCCCAAGCGATAGTCCCACCTCGTCCTCCTAAATAAAGTGCTAGGATTACAGGCATGAGTCACTGTGCCCAGCCTTATTGGAGAAATTTGAAATGCAGATATTTGAAAGCTGTGTAATCATTAGTTAATATGGACTTACATGCAAATATGTTTGACTTCTTGATAACCTGGCAGTTAGTTCAGTGTTCCAGCATGAATCTTCTCCCTCTTTTTCTTGAATACTTGATTGTGGGTGTTTCATCAAAAGTCTTAACCTTTAGGGACGAAAGGTGCCAAACACAGTTCTTCTGCCCGACACATTCACTGTCTGCTTGGAGAGAAGCTATTTGGTTTCTGCACAGCTCCTGGGGCCACCTCCCATACAGTGTTCTGTGTGAGTGGAGGCCCCAGAAATCTGCACCAAGTTGGCCCAGGAAACAGGTGCTTAGGTGTGTTAGCCGGGCGTGGTGGTGAGCTCTGTAATCCCAGCTACTCCAGAAGCTGAGGCAGGAGAATCACTTGAACCTGGGAGGCGGAGGTTGCAGTGAGCCGAGATGGTGCCATTGCACTCCAGCCTGGCAAAAAGAGTGAAACTCCGTCTCAAAACAAAACAAAACAAAAAAACCCACAGTGGTTTTCTTTCCTTGCTCCATACTGCTTTCTGATTTTTGACTGTTTCACTGTCCTTCCTTTACAGACCCCTCTTCTGAAATTGCGTAATATGATAGACAACTCCAGATCTTTCTCTTGAGCCCCACATTTAACCGCCCAGGTGTCTGTTCTCACCAGCTTGTCAGACTCCTGATAGTAAAAGTTGAACTCTAGGCCGGGCACGGTGGCTCACGCCTGTAATCCCAGCACTTTGGGAGACCGAGGTGGGCAGATCACCTGAGGACAGGAGATCGAGACCATCCTGGCTAACCCGGTGAAACCCCATCTCTACCAAAAATACAAAAAATTAGCGGGGTGTGGTGGCAGGTGCCTGTGGTCCCAGCTACTCGGGAGGCTAAGGCAGGAGAATGGCGTGAACCCGGGAGGCAGAGCTTGCAGTGAACCGAGATCATGCCACTGCACTCGAGCCTGGGCGACAGAGCGAGACTGTCTCAAAAAAATAAATAAATAAATAAAGTTGAACTCCAGTCCAGGTGTGGTAGCTCATGCCTGTAATTCCAGCAGTTTGGGAGGACAAGGCAGATGGATCACCTGAGATCAGGAGTTCGAGACCAGCCTGACCAACATGGTGAAAAACCTATCTCCACTTAAAAAAAAAAAACAAAAAACCGTTAGCCAGGTGTGGTGGCGCATGCCTACAGTCCCAGCTACTCGAGAGACTGAGGCAGGAGAATTGCTTGGATCCTGGAGTCAGAGATTGCAGCGAGCCAAGTTCACACCACTGTACTCCAGCCTGGGCGACGGAGTGAGACTGTCTCAAAAAAACCTTAGAAGTTGAACTCCTTTCTTTTCTGTTTCCTTCTCCAAGATGCTGAACTCTGTTTATGCCTTTTACACTCGTGCTTTCTCTTGATTTTGTGCCTTTGCATATGCTTTTCTTAGAATCTTCTTTTCTGCCTTTTCATGGGTAACTCCTACTTGCCTTTCAAGTTTTAGCGTTAAGTGTCACGTCTTCAGGAAGGTGTCCTCCACCCTTGGTTACATATAGTAAATGATGTCTCACAGTTATATGTTCCCTTAGTTGTTGGCACAACCCCCCTCATGGTTCTGTATCCTTAGTCTTTTTGTTTGATACCTGTCTTACTTCTGCTGCTGCCTCCCCCGTCTCTGATGGCATGAATATTATGTGTTCTGTTCATTATTTTATCCCTTTTGAGTACATGATAGGAGTTCAGTAAATATTTGTTGAATGAATAAGTGAAGCATTAAACAAGAAAAAGAATTTGGGTGTTAGATATATACTTGATTTGAACCCACTTCCAAAACTTTACCTTTTTTTTTTTGATATGAGGTCTTGCTATATTGCCCAGGCTGGCCTGGAATTCCTGGGCTCCAGTGATCCTCCCACTTCAGCCTCCTGAGTAGCTGGGACTACAGACCAGCCAGTGTGCCCATTTTCAAAACTTAACCTCTTAGATTCTCTTTCCTTATCTGTGAAATGGAGATAATACCTATCTTAGAGATAATACCCATCTCAGACTAAATGAGAAAGACTAAAAGGCACACAACACAGTATCTGACACATAAGTGCTCTGTAAATAACAGCACAACACTTACGAGCATTTCCCGTAGGCAGTGTTAGAAACTTCATAAACTTTGCATATATTAACTCATGCAATCTTCACAATAGTCCTGTAAGGAAGGCGGGAAATAATATCCTCAGAGAGTTTAGGTAACTGTCCAAAGTTTCTACTTCCTAAGTGAGATCCAGAAACTGCCCTAGTATCTTCACGTTATATTTTATTTCCCATTCTCCTTTTTTTGTTTTTTATTTTTTTTAAATAGAGATGGGATCTCATACTGTTGCCCAGGCTGGAGTGCAGTGGCACCATCATAGCTCACTGCTGCCTTGAACTCCCAGTCTGAGGTGATCCTTTTACTTCAGCCCTCTGAGTAGCTAAGACCACAGCACAGGCACGTGCCACAATGCCCAGCTTTAAAAAAAATTTTTTTTGTAGAGATAGAGTCTTGCTGTGTTGCCCAGGCTGGTCTTGAACTTCTGGGCTCAAGTGATCCTCCTGCCTCGGCCTCCCAAAGTGGTGGGATTACAAGCATGAGCTACAGTGCCCAGCCCTTCCTGTTCTCCTTTTAAAATCAGTACTAGCATCAATAATGGATTAGATTAGATTATAATGTAATTAGTATACATCTAATTAGTACGTAGTGAATATACATCTAA